CTCTATGCACCGAAGTGAAGTGAAGTTTAGGGTTTAGGCACACTTGAGTAGTTATTACCGGGGTCGGAATCTCTCTTTGGGTTGAGGGATTAGGGTCTGCCTAATGAAGGGTCATTATTAGGGACCCTACAAGTGTGAGCAGAGGGGCAAGTTCAACTGTTACTTGCAGGGGTCGGAACAATTACAGAAGTGTGTAAACGGTAATTACGGTGAAGCGGGCGAGTGTGAAACGGGTTTTTGTGAGGTCATCTAGGAGACTTTTTTTACTCAGGGTTGTAGTTTCCAAATACCGAGGAGGTGGAAAAGGTAAATCACGAATTTGCCTGAAGGGTATTTAGCAAGTAGGCCGCCTAAAGGACGTTCAGCACTCTGAGCAGGGCCGTAGTTGTTGAGTTTCTAACAAGCCCTCCGCATCCTGTGCTACTCTTCTTTGGCACAGCGCTTGTCTCAGCTTCAAGTGGTCCTGGTTTGAAGCTTGAGTACTGCAATCTGCTCTTTTTGCAATGTATTGGTTCCAAGGCGCCGCATGTAAACGCTCAAGTCCAGCTCGTCAGGAGCAGCGCTGGCGGGGTGAGGAGAAGAACCCAAATCAGTTTGACATAGTGTATTCCCACGTGTCAATGGCATACGGGTCAAACCAGCACAGACTCCCACATGTCAATGGCATGCGGGTCAAACCAGCACAGATTAGCACAATTAGCGCCAACAGTTAACCTTGCAGCGCACGACTAATGAACGTGCAGATGCACGCACAAACTCCAGTCGGGATGTCGTGCATTTTTTGTTGCTGCTCCTGCAGGGATTGCCGGAGAACGGCTCTACTAAACCTACTACCCAAAACCCTAGCCAACCCTCATGGAGCTTCTGGGTGCTCAGATAGTGCAGGCGGAAAAGGGCCTCTGAAAAAAAGAAAAGCTTAGCCAATAAATGCCAGCAGCTGTCTAGCGAATCGAGCGCCACCCTCCGCTGCCTCCAGGCTTTTGGCTGAGATTTGCCCTGGAGACCTGACAGGACCCGGGGTCTATTCGATTGTACACTATGATTGTACAGTATTGTATATAACAATTATAGAACCACTAGCGTCAGTTCATATAGCATCGTGATTGTAGAGTAGTTTTAATTATTCCATTGTGGTACTGGTTTATCTTGGGACTGTAAGGGCTTGTGTGGTGTGCTTCGATATTCAATGCTTGCCTAAATCCTATCGAAACCTCACGAACAGCACCGAGAGAACTTCCCAGGTGAGAGGCATCTGATTTAAGCCCTAAACCCACTCCCCAAAAATGGAAAGCGAACAGCCGATGCAGCGCTTTCGAAGGCATATATCTAAACCACGACAACCTCGTATATGGGGGATGGGGATCTGATGTTCCGCTCTTTGTAGGCAAGGATCGAGCTCCCGGGCTGCTTTTGAGGTACAACTATCAGGGAGACTGTATGGGGTAATTACAGGGGGTTACTATCAGGGCTACTACAGAAGCCGCCTGTCCAATTGCGAATATTACTCCATAAGCTTCCCAGCACGAGGGGGCACCGTGGAGATCTGCGCCCTCCCAAACTCCTGAGTTTGAAGGGCTCTATCGTAACCCTACTTACGGCTCTCTGAAATGGGACGTTATTGAGGGCGTCTATATCCCCAATGGATCCCCCTTCTCCTAACTCCTATATTATGATTAGGATCTATACCCTCAGCACCACATGCCTCCACCATGGCAGAAAGCCTCCGCAGGCTTCCTCTTCCCCAGTGGCGGAGGCGAGGCAAACGAGGCGTCTCGGCTGGGAGCTTTTCGAAGGCTTGAGTTTTTTTTGACTTTTGGCTGGTGTAATCTATAATAACAGCTTAGTTTGTCAGTTAGACTGAACTTTTTTTGGCGGCACGAGGCCAGAGGTGAGGTTTCCGATGGCTTGGCTGCCCTATGAAGAGGTTTAGGGTTAAGAAGTTCGGGTGTACAGCGTAGGATTGCTGAGTTGCTACTCGTATGTGCCGCTTTGAAGCGAAAGCTGTGGAAGCAGGACCCCGATGTTTTTCGTCAGACCTTTTTCTCTAGGCCCTGGCGATCCGATTTGTGTTGGTAGTCTGATCCTGGTTGCAGGCATTGTTTTTGTCACGTGCCATCCCGAAGCAAGATGCCGCTGCCCGTGTACTGCCGTTCATAGTACCTTTGTTCTGGCCAGCCCAAAACCCGTAAACCGTGCCCAGGCTGCTATCCGCCTCGCACGCCTGTACACGAGCAAGCACAAGATCTTCACACAGTACAGGCACGACGTCTTCGTGTGAAGGATTTTGGGTAAGGCATGAGATATGGAAGCCTTGGCAATTTAGCAACAGTTCTCCTTAGGCCTCCTTGCTATAATCATAGCCATAGCATCATACACCCCCCCAAACCCTATTCAAAGTATTCAGGCCCCTGTATATTATCCACGTCCCTACTAGAATCTCGGAGCCAACAGCCATGATCGTTTCTTGAAGTTGCATGTTTCGCTTCCGTATGCTTCCGTCCAATACGCCTCGGGGGGTTGGGATCGCCAAGAACCCCCAATCGTCCACTTTGTCGTGTTGCCCATGTTTTTGCTGCTGTATCAGTCTTGTAAAGGACGTACCAAGATGCTGCCACTCAGACTCCTCCTGCTGTAGTTCTATCAACTGATCCTTCTTTTATGTGCTCATTATTCGGGTCAATGTCTTTCCGCCCGCAGCATGGCCACTGTCTGCGGCAGCATGCAGTGTTCAAACGAAGTTCTTTCATTACACATGCATGGTAACGCAGCTTGCGTACTTGGTTCGTCACAATCATAGAACATTGGTTCGCCCAGGTGACCTGAAGTACTGCTTTGCTGTGCCGCTGAGCCAACTGAGCATGAAATCCTGACCGGCATGGCAACAAATCCCTTCAGGATCAAACACCTGCGAACCGGAAAAGCTACACAAACAATGACGCCGATCGCACGTTAAACCCGGGCCCTTGCATGTTTGTCCATGCATGAGCCCTGTACTGTAGCATGCACCTTTCTATTTCGCATAGCTTCTTCAAGCTAATCAAGAGCGGCACTTAATTCCGTGCTGACAGCCCCAGCGCACTCTGAGCTCTAGCTTCTTCTAAAGCATCAAGGCTCAGGCTTCAGGGCCCTGACAGACCATGAGCCTTCGGGCTCCAACCGCATACCCTGAGGTTCCCAAACTCCCAACTCAACCCTTGCAACCCCAAATCCTCTTCGACGAAGCCGAAACCCTACCTAAATCATTAAAAAATCCACCCGACAATTAAAAGAGCCCGAATGCCCAGCATGATCGGAGTCCCTCAAGGTCCTACCATGGGGCCTCTGCCTCCTCCTTGGGCGCCACGGGCGACTTCCGCCGGAAATTCGCGGAGAGTGGGCAGAACGGCGCCATGGTGTTGCAATTCGTCGTGTGAAGTGCGTATAAAGATGGGCTTTAGGGTATGGAATCCATGTACTAATAAAGGAGGGAACATATTTTTCCCCAATATGTTTAGTGAATCCATGTCTATAGTAAATAACAGGGCTTCCTTATTATGGTAACTCAACCTATATTCCTTAACAGGAGCCCAGTTTAAGTATGGAATCCATGTAGTGATGGTGGTTGGTTGGCCTCGGTGCTCGTCTGCATCGTGGCAGCAGTCGTGTCGTGATCGTCGGAGGCCGGGACCCCATACTTTTCTAGGCTTTAAGGGTTGTGAGAGGTGTGAGGGCCTAGGGGTTGTTTAGGGTTGAGGGTTGTGAGGGTTCAGAGTTGGGTGTTGGGGCCGAGTTCTGCGAGCTTTTTGGCGCAGGGCGCAGAGGAGGGCTTCGGGTTCAGGCTCGAAGGTGCAGGCCTTTTTTTTTTTTCGCTTCGAGCTGCCGGACGAAGGCTTCGTGAAGTTCTTCAACCCACAGCCGAACGGCTTCAGCTGGGGCACCACAGACTACTCGGCAACACAGCGAACTCTGGCCTGCCTCGAGGAAGAGTTGCTACTGCCCCTGCGCTACTGCAAGTGTGCCTGCTTTTGCCCCGGCCTGCGTGGGCAGCCGGTCTTCAAGCAACTCGGAGCTTGTTGCACCGATTGTGGCCCCGGCACTAGTGCATGCCTTGCAGGACCAGATCTTGGCTGAAGGGCCAGAGACCATTGCTGCCGTCCTCGTTGCGCCTTTGCATGGTTTAGGGTTTAGGGTTTGGGGCATGCAGAAGAAGTGTTGACTGGCAGTCGCACAAGTCTTGCTGGCTTGATAGGCGATATCCGGGTGTCTTGCGATGTGGACGGCAGCCATCTCGAAGCTTCGCGTCACTCCCAGCCTTTGCATGTCATGACACCTGCAGAGTCGGCTGAGGAAAGCATCGTGGGTGCTGGTGGTGTCCTGGTCCCACCCGAGGGATACATGGAGGGCCTCCGGGCTCTGTGTGACAAGTGCCCTCGGCACGATCTTGTCTCACACTGCAAGTTCACTCTGGAAATTGACCACACGTCGCCACCTGTGCATCAGAGTGCATGGCATTTCACGCGATGTTTTGGGCACAGGAAACGGGAGCAGCAGTGGCTTTAAATAAGCATTCGGGCACTAGTTCACGGCCAGCCACGATCCATCAATATATTTCGGAATAGATAGATAGATAGACAGACAGACAGATCGATAGATAGATGGATAGGCATAGATAGATAAATAGGTAGGTAGATAGATAGATCGATTCAGATGATATAGATCGATAGATAGACCAATAGAGATAGGCAGACAGATACATAGATAGATAGATCGATAGATCGATAGATAGACAGATAGACAGATAGACAGATCGGTAGGTAGGTCGATAGATCGATAGATCGATACAACGATAGATAGATAGATGGATAGGTAGGTAGGTAGGTAGGTAGGTAGATATGTAGATAGGTAGATAGGTAGATAGGTAGGTAGGTAGGTAGGTAGGTAGGTAGATAGGTAGATAGATCGATAGATCGATAGATCGATAGATAGATACATAGATAGACAGATGGGTAGATAGATAGGTCGGTAGCTAGCTAGGTAGGTAGGCAGGCAGGTAGATAGGCAGATCGGTAGATAGGTCGACAGGTAGATCTGTAGATAGGTAGATAGATAGATGTAGAGATAGAGAGATAGAGTTGTAGAGGTAGATGCGTGCGTACATACATACCCTGCCAGGTACGACATCCTGCTCATTTGCGATGAGGCTGGGCCCCTAAACCCCTAAAGCCCTAAACCCCCAAACCCTAACGGTAATCCGCGAAACCCCTCACCCCTCACCGCTAACCCTCAAACCTAAACCTTTCACCCTCACCCCTAAAACCCTAAACCCTAAACCCGAAACCCTAAGCGGTTCTCAGGTCATGGTTGGTTTCGGCCGCACGGGCCATTTCTTCGGCTTCCAACACTTCGAAGGCCGGCCAGGGAGACAAAAAAAATAAAAATCCCCAAGCCAAGAAAGGGGTCGGTTTGGGGTTTAGGGTTTAGGGGTTTGGGACGGTCGGAGGTTTAGGGTTTAGGGTTTAGTGGTGTGGGCCGGCTTGGGGTTTAGGGTTTAAGTTAGGGTTTGGGCAGGCTGGGGTCTTAGGGTTTAAGGACACATTCTTACTATAGAAGCCTGAATAATTACTTCTATGATTCCTTAGGATGCGTTACTTTAAGTATACGATGAAGGAGCTCAAAGCCCTATTCTAATTATCAAGGCCGCTACATCAGTGATAGTTTAGGGTTTAGTGCAAATTAGCAAGAGCATTGTCTTTTGCATTCCCGAGTTTATTATTATTCATGGACTAAGCTTACATTACAACATACCAACTCCCCCGCTAAATTGCAGGCTTCCACCCCCTAAATTGCAGGTGTTGTGCCGGACATCGTGACTTCCGCCAAGGGCCTCACCGCCTCCTTCATGCCGCTGTCCATGGTCGGAGCCACTCCGAAGACGTCATAATGGTTTGGGCTTTTGAGGGAGAGTTTGGAGGGTTTAGAGGGTTCAGGTTTTAGGGCTTTCTAGTGTTTAGGGTTTAGGTTTGGGGCAAAGGGTTTAGGATGTAGGGTGTTTAGGTGTTTAGGGCTTAGGGTTTAATTTAGGGTGGGGCTTGCTGGTACCTTACGAATCATTTTCATGTTCTGATTCTGGAGATATGAACCCCAGTGATTGTTTTAAACATGGCTTTTCTATCGGCTTATACAGGCTTATAGCTCTGGGGTTCACGGGGTGTTGGAGTTTGGGGTTGCTTGGTTTGGGTTTTAGGATTTGTTTCGGCCCATTTAGGCGGTTGAACGTTTCTGAAGGTTTTCCGGTTTAGTTCAGGTTTGGTTCATTTGAGTCCTGCCGACTGGAACTGGTCTTCGCTGAGCCGTAGGTTTGTCACCATCAGGAGAAGTCCCATATCCATATACAGAATATATATATATATACACACGCATGTACATGCATGCATGCATGCATGCATGCATGCATACATACATACATACATACATACATAATACATATGTACATACATACATCCAGGCAGGCAGACAGAAGGGACAGACAAATTTATACATATTGTACATTAACACTTATGTGTTGACTTGTTTACATATTTAGTTATACGATTATCTGTTTTTGGTACATGTATATATATATATGTGTGATATATATATATATATGTGTGTGTATGTAATGTAATGTAATGTAATGTAATGTAATGTAATGTAACGTAATGTAATGTAATGTATGTATGTATGTATGTATACATACATACACATTAGCTAAGAGCCCCGTCCGAACTCTATTCGAACTGAGGTCCGACAGAAGATCAAGGATTACTTCATGACGCACCCCGTTGGCTGGGGCTCCACCTTCCACGCCCATCCTGCGGTTTGGTCAGCATGCTTACATGGTTTAGGGTTTATAAGGCTCAGGATTCAGGGGTTTAGGGTTTAGTCATATTTCTGACGTTGCCCTATGAAGATCGCGATGAGACCCCGCACGACCTTACTTCATGTAATTGTTTAGCTTAGCACTTGGATGGAGCTTCAGTCTCAAACTGCGAGATGAAGGAGAAAGTCAGGTTGAAGCAGCCTGGAACGTCCTAGATTGAAAGCACTCCAAGCCTGTAGTTAGAAGTGTAAGTTGTAACCTGCCCCCCCCCCCCTCAAACCCTCGACTGCAGCTCAGGTAGCTCTGGCTTGCGCCTACGAGACTGTGAAGTACGTGCTGAAGGCTCTTCCTTGACATGCTTGGCCGATGACTCCCACAACTTACGTACATCTAGTGCAACAGCTTGTGCATGAACCAGGAGACAAAGAACAGGTCAACAAGGTTGTTCGGTGGCTTCTCTTTTGAGTGCTCTATGTGGGATGTATTCCAGAACATTTCATGGGGCATAAGATGTTCCTACATATTCCTTCGAGTTTCTATAGATTTTGTCGGCAATGTTCTCCCTTACTTCCACCACAGACACAGAAGAACTCGCATGCAAAACCACAACCACAACGACGACAACGGCGACGACAGCGACAACAAAATGAACAACAAGTAATATGAATAATATTAATATCAACAAGAAAGTCATGGCAATAATAGTAATAACATTAGAAATAATAAAAGCAAGAAGAACCCCATAATCATAATCACAATCTTAAGAATGACAACAAAAGCACGAATAACAATTGCACATAACAATACACAATGACCATAACAATCACAATTCCAATACCAATATCGCTAATCAACTACAACACAACTACAGCAGCTACCATCACTATCGCAGGTATAGTAGTAGCTATTACTATATAACAATGGCACAGGCATATAAGCTGTGTTGCAGCTACGCACCCCGTTGCAGGAGAACGTGCTTGACAATGTGCGGAACCTGGAGCCTGTCATGCTGGAGGACAGCGGAGTCCCAGGGCGTGGGGATTGGGGTTTGGGGATTACGGAGTTATGGTTTATAGGGACTAGGCTTACTGAGTGTTATAGACTCGGGTAAGGGTTCAGGGGTTCAGACCCTAAACCCTAAACCCTCAAACCAGAACACGGCTTCGCGCCCTTCCTCGGGATTCGCAGACTGCAGAGGAGCTCCAGAAACTGACGCTGAAGCATGCCTCCGTGCGCCAGGCATCGAGGGGTGTTTTATCTTTTTGGGCTGTGCGAGGTGTGCAGGACTTACAGGGCTGTGCTGTTTTGCCGGGCATCTCAGGGCTTGGGGGGAAGCCTCTGTTGATGTTTTGGCAGCGGGCTACAACATCCTCCATTACGGTTTCATAGTTTGGGGTGCCGGGGCGGGGTCCCCCGCTCTGTTTCACAAACATATGAAGGCGCAGTGAATTATGTGTGGGGCGGACGGCCGGCGACGGGAATCCTACGAAACCTTCCCGCCCTGGGGTTTTGGAGTCGCAGCAGTAGTGGTAGTACAGGGCCGTCCAGACAGTATAGTATAATGTAATGTAATGTAATATGTCTTAGTTTAAATGTAGGGTAGTTTAAATACAGAACATACTACAGTAAAATCTGCTGTATTATGTATGTTTTATTATAGCATAAACAGTATCAAAGCAAGCATGGTCGTGGGGAGAGCAAACCCCACATGGAAGCCTGTGTGAAGGTCGTTCAAGGCACATGGAGCGGGATTCAGCCAGCCTATTTTTTCATACAATGTTCTGAGCTGAAAGGTAGAAGCAGCTGCACACCTCTGTCGGACTCTGCTGTAGCAGCAGAGCTTGGGTGTGCTGTGGGAAATCAGCAGAAGATACTCGTAACTACCAGAATACATGACACCCCGTAAACCCCAAACCCTAAACCCTACCTGGTAGGCCCGGGCTGTGGGCCTTTTCGGCGCCTCGGCGGCAACTACATCGTAGATTCTCAGGTTCTTGCTCCTTGAGCTCCTGATCCCTCAAGGGTTGAGGGTTTAGGGTTTTAGGGAACCCAAGCCCTAATCCATATACCCCAAACCCGAACTGAGCATCCCTGCAATCTCACACCCCAAGCTCCACAGCTTTGAAGCCCTACATGTTGAAACCAGCCTGAAGGGTGAAGATTAAGAACAGCCACGACAAAGCAAACAACAGAAACAGAGCCTTAAACCCCCAAAGCCCCTAAGCCCATGTAAACCCTAAACCCTAAACCCACCAAGAGTGTGGGTCGGTGCTTGCCAAGCTCTCCCCCTGAAGCCCGTATCCTGGACATTTTCGTGCGGTACTGGATGTACTAGAACCCAGATTGCAGCGTTGTAAAATTATTCGGCTTGTGGACCTCGTAAATGAGTACGAAAAGCATCTTAACATCAGCAGCGCCGCACCACATCGACATGGACACCAATTCCAACACCGACATCACCACCATCGCCACCAACAGCAGCAACGCTAGAACAGCTGCAAGTCAGCGGGAACATCAGTACAACCGTCAGACCAGAAGAGCAATGTCGCAGGATATGAACATGGCTTGTAGCATAGACACGCACAAGTGCGCATAATTCAGAGCTACGATCAGTAGGTTTTACGAGAGCTGCGCAGTCCGAAGCAGCCGAGGTTGCTTGGACCTGCAAACCCCCATCGGACAGGCGCCTCAGGGATGCTGCATGTCAGCTGTTGTTCCCGGGTCAGCGCGGTAGCTGGTGTTGGCGATGAAGATACATCTAAAATCACGGCTCGTAACATGTCCCAACCCAGTTTCGATTGACAACTGTAGCCCTGTATCTGCGCACGGGCATTAACCCGCATTGAAGAAGCCTGGCATTGCAGACTGCAGGCTCGCATCACCTAGATTCGACTTGGAGTGCTGGAGAAGAATCCCAAGCGGCGCGAAATTCTGCACACGCAAGTCCCCAACGCCAACAATGCAAACGACATAACAACACTCAACAGAGCACAACGCCTCCCACACCCCCCAGTTGTGGAAGCGACACTCTGCATGCCAAACCCCTAAGCCTTGAACCTGAAGCAAGCCCCAAACCCGAGCCTAAAGTCCTGAAAATCGAATCCTATCCTATTAGACTTGAACCCTGAGACCAAGATCCAACAAGAAGCACTGACCGATGAAATCCTGAACCCTAAACCCTGGCCTTACCTGGACCCCAAACAACTTACCTGTTTAAGGACTTATATACAGAAACCTTAAAGAAGAGAGCCCTGCAAAGGAAGGGTCCAGGTAAACGTCCCTAAACCCTAAAACCCGAAAACCCTAAACCCTAAATCCTGGCCCCTAGGTTAAGGTCCTAAACACCGACAACGGGGCGCCCTTGCTGAGACCGTCCAGCGCTTGGGCGAGCCTTCTCCGCCGGCAGTGCAACACCTACGAAAGGTGTGAGGGTCAGAGTGCTCGGGAGCTGGGAGGGCTTATTTAAAACTTAAACCCTATAAACTCATCGCACAAACATTTTACAAATATATTTTGTTTTATGGGTTTAGGGGTTTAGAACTTACTGCTTTCGCGGATTAGATGATTAGAGGTATTAGAGCTCCGGCGTTCCCTGCTTTAGGGTTCAGGTTTGGGGTTCCTGGCTGAGGGTTCCGGGTTGGAGCTCAAGAGGATGAGAAGCCGTCCCTTGAGGTTGGTTCTCAGTTCTGCTCAACTCTCAAGTTCTCTAAAGTTTGGCAGGCACTGGCAGCAGACAGATCAGCCCCAAAATTCGGCTTGGCCTTGGGGTGGGTGTTCTCTAAACCCTAATTGAACCCCCCGAGCCCTATAGAGCCATAGAGCCTACAATAACCCTGTAGTCGGGAGAGGTCTCTTAGGAAGCGTCACTTCGGGTTGGCTTGTGGCGAGGGTTTAGGGGTTGGAGATTCACGAGTTCGCCATCGAGGCTTTGCTTCGAGAAAAGACATCATGGCAGTTGGGCTCTATAGGCTTTAGGGGTTTCGGCTAAGGGATCTAGATCTCTTCGCTTTACTTTGACTTCTCCTGCTTCTCCGATTTGGGGTCTCAGGGTTGAGGTTCAAAGCAGGGTTGTAGGAGTTGGGACTTTTGTTTGGAGGGGAACCTGTTTTTGTGCAGGCGATGTTTGACAATGGCCTCTTCTCTCTCTTCCGGCCGCCGCTGTTGCACTGCTCGCCTCCGCTGATCATCAATGAGGACTGTCGCTTCACCAGCCAGGTTCACTTGGGTAGTTCTCTAAATTAGGGTCCCTTTTTTAGGTCCCCAAAACAATACGGCACCCTTGAAAAAAGGACCCTAAAAGGGGAACCCTAATTTACAGAACTTCCCACTTGAGAGTCTAAAACCTTCCGTGGTGAGGTCGTTGCAGTGTGCTTGACCGAGTGCTTTGCAGATGCTGCTCCGTTTGCTGCATGTCATGTAGTACTTCGCGCTGTATGACGGCTACTAGAGCTCAAGGCGCAGATACTGTGCTTTCTCGGCACGTAATCAACTTCCAAAGTCACCTGGCTTTTCGAAACTATGGACCCACTGAGTACTCTATCCTAAACACGGAAGAACATATACGAATATGAAGAAGGGATCTCAGAGATGGCCCTGAGTAGAGGGATCCCACACATCCAAGAAATCGAGCCCTACCGGTCCAACTCGTAACGCCATCAGGTTCAAAGCCCAAGACTCGATCTAACTCCCCATGCACTGCGAGAGTTCCACGCCCTGAAACCCTCAGCCCTAAACCCCGACACTGCCGGGTCTAGTCGTCTGTGGATCAACATTGGGTTTAGGAAAGTTTAGGGGGTGTAGGGTGCGGAATCACTGGGAATAGTATTCCCTGCTAGTCCCCTATAAACCCTAACCCCCCCCCCNNCCCCCCCCCCCCCCCCAATATTCCCAAGGCTGATGAAGGCATTGCGCGAAGCCCTAAACCCTTATCGAAACAACCCTTACTAAATTTTCACAACCCCCTTCGAAACCCTTCTAGCCTTCTAGAAGCCTTACAAAGTCGTCATAAGTCGTCATAGAACCCTTACACACGCCTTATGGGGAACCCGAAATCCTATCACGCCTAAACCCTAACCCCCAAAACCCNNAACCCTAAAGCCTTAAACCCTAAAAGCTTAAACCCTATAAACCCTAAAACCCTAAAGCCTCAAACCCTAAACCCTTAAACCCTAAAACCCTAAATCCTTAAACCCTAAACCCTAAAAGCCCTAAAGCCCTAAAGCCTTAAAACCTTATAAACCCTAAAGCCCCAAAACCCTATAAAACCCTATAAAACCCTAGTCAAACAAGCCCCCAGGAGCAGCTAAGGGATGGCTTCGGCAGGCTTTCCAAGGTCTGGGCTCTGCTCCGGAGATTTCGAGGGTTTAGAGCTGCTTTGGGTTAGGGTTTAAGGTTTAGGGTTTAGGGTTTAAGGTTTAGGGTTTAAGGTTTAGGGTTTAGGGTTTTCAGAGGTGTTTTGGGGTTACGGGTTATCGGTTTAGGGTTTGGGGGTTTGTAGGGTTTATTGGTTTGGGGTTTGGGGGTTCATAGGGTTTGGGGGTTTAGGGTTAGGGAATGACAGGTTTAGGGGTTTAGGGCTCAGGGAATTAATAGGGTTTAGGGATTTATAGGCTTATATATAGGGTTTAAGTGGGGTTCAGCGATCCAATATAGTAGGAGTCGGCATAGTTAGTGATCGAATTCCTGCTTCTCATCCCTACTGGAGGCAGAGCCAGGCAGAGTTACATGGAAGCTAGGCCTCTGTATAAGGATCAGGCAGTTCGACTAACTCTCAGGGCTTCGGGCCAGTTAAGTTTTGGTTCGGGTGGTTTTTGAGAGTTTAGGGCGCGAGGTTGCAGATTTTATGATGAAGTATTGTCTGGTTCAGAGGTTTGGTGCTGACTGAAAAAGGCTTTAGCTGGTGGTTTCGGATCTGCTGTTTGCTCGTTCGGGGCCTGAGCTACCCGGTGGCTTTTGTGTCAGGTTGGAGGTATGAGAGCAGTTGGGTGATTGCCTGGTGCCATCAGATTTTCTGGCCGATGCACGGACACCCGCGACAGATCTCAAGCAGCATCCCAGCAAGTTATCAAAGTCCTTAAGCGAGATGTGGCGGCTCTTGGTTCTGGTTGCTGCGGCTGCAGCTGCAGACCAGTTCGAACAACGGTCTGTAGTTGGCCAGCATGGCATGGTCTCCACGTCGCATCCAGAGGCTAGTGCAGCTGCAACACACATCTTGGAGAGAGGCGGCAATGCAGTAGATGCAGCCCTCGCAGTGCACTTTGTGCTTGCAGTCGTGGAGCCGCAGCATGTCTCCATCGGTGGCGGCGGTGTCATGCTCTACAAGCCGCTGGATGGAAAGGCTCTCCATGTGGATTTTCGTGAGGAAGCACCAGCACTGTACCATCCAAAGACCTTCTGCAAGAATGCGACTTGTGTTCTTGACCCACACTGCGACTGTAATGGAACCTGGCCGAGCACAGAGCGTTGCACTGGCGGACATGCCACTGGCACGCCTGGCTTCCCAGCCCTTCTTTCTCTCGCAGTGCGTGATCAACTCGCTTCTTTGCCACTCTCAGAGATCGCCGGGCCCGCGATAGACTTGGCTCGCAATGGCTGGATCATGGACGAGGGCCTCCACAAGAGCATTCAGCAACATGCCCCGCAGCTAGCCCGAGACCCTGCTTCGCGAGAGCTGTTCTTAAATGCCAGCGGCAGTGGGCCCAAGGCAGAGGTTGGTGAGATCCTTCGAAATCCAGACCTTGCGGACACCTTGGAGTTGATCGTGACTGCGCCGGAAGACTTCTACACAGGGCACCTAGGTGCGGAATTTGTGCAGGCGGCAGCACAAGGCCTCAATAGCGTGACAGGAAAGCATGGTTTGCTGTCCATGGCGGATTTGCATGGTTACAGGGCAGTGTATCGTGAACCAGTGCAGTACGAGTACACCACTGCCTCTGGCACCACATACAACATCACCGGTTCCGCCCCACCCTTCAGCGGTGGAGTGGCACAAGCTCAGATCTTTAATTACCTCGAGCAGGTGGAAGGGACAGATGCCACAGCCGCCCGCAGGCTTGGCCTTTTCATGGATGCGCAGAATGCAGCATTTGCTGACCGCAACCAGTATGTTGCTGATCCAGACTTCGTCGACGTCGACGTCAAGACACTGACATCAAAAAGCTATGCAGCAAGCCGTGCACAGGACCTGGTCGGTGGCTCTCAGAGAATCCGTGGGAATGAGATGAGGGCCTTGTCTGTACCAGTGAGCCCTGGGATCCTGAAGTCAAGCCGTGGTTCATCTTCTTCGGAGGATCACGGCACGTCTCACATGACGATCATTGATTCCCAGGGAAACATTGTGGCCATGACCACGACTGTGAACATGATCATGGGCTCGAGGGTAACTGTGCCCGGGCGTGGCTACCTGCTAAATAACGAAATGTGCGACTTCGATCCACTGGGTCTCGATTCCGCTGGGCAGATGACCGTCAATGCTGCGGAGGGGGGCAAGCGCCCCAGGCGCACGGCTCTGGGTGACGATAGCAGCTCCTTAGGTGGAAAAAGGCCGAGGTCCTCCATGAGCCCCACTCTGGTTGTGCCAAAAGAGCCAGGCAAAGCTGCTTTCTCATTGCTTGGCTTAGGAGCGCCTGGCGGCTCCGACATTATTGGTGGAGTAGCCAATGTCCTGAGACATACCCTGACTGCACCGGGGGCGGAGGTTCGACAGCTGCAGGCACACACCAACGCCCCGCGTGCCATCGGCAAGAATGAGCCGAGAATGGGCAATGCAGTCGTGGAGTTAGCACTCTACGAGGACAAGGAGACAGTTGCTGCCTTGCAGTCTTGGGGTTACAACCTCACGCACACGCCCTATGCTCCGCCCTACTACGTGGGAGAGACGTACTCTCGAGTGCAATCTGCAATGATGTGGCGTGCTGATTCGTCCCGTTGGATGTTCGTAGGGGCAGCAGACAAGCAGCGCTTGCCTACTTGTACAGTTCAGGCTCCGCAAAGCTCTGGTGACTCTGTTTTTCTGCCCTGAAACATCACTTGAAAGCATTAAAGTATAGCTTTCGTGGCTGGAGCACTTGCACGAAGGTGCCTGCTGCTCTGAAGCTTTTGTGAGGTCACAGACGATGCTCAGTCGGATCTTCACAGGATCGGCTAACAAGAATCTGAAGCTTCGCCCAGTCACGTGGCTGCTGCTGTTGAGGTCGTCTGGAAATAGAATGACAACCATAGCATAGCGGTAATAACACTTGCAAGTAATGATAATGGCAATAATATCAATAATGGTACAGTACTTACTATTTGTTGTTATAAAAAGTTTGGGGTTTGTAGGGGGGACGTCAGAAACCTGATGAGGCTCTGGACTCCTTCGACGAGATGCAGGAGCGTGAGTGTGGCCTGGCCTCCACAGAGATGTGATGGGGCCAGAAATCTGAGCGGCATCAGCCCCTGGGGAGCAAGCTCGAGTGTTCATAGATGAGGGTTTAGGGCTTAGAGAGCGCGACTGGCCCTGTGTTTGGGGCATTTCAGGAGTTCGTGGCAGGCAAAGTTGGGCCAGCGTGTCATTGGGCCAGCCATTTTAGCAGTTGCCGTCGGGGTTTGTTGAGCGGGGCGGCTGCAGAGAAAAAGGGACTGCGACGGGGGGCAGGGCAATAATGCACACGACTCGGGCAGAGGGGCTAAAGTGCCGAGGCGCAACCCTTGCTGCAGAGGGGCCAGTAGCCGTGAGTGAGCGCGCATCCGGGCCGGGAGCGCACCGAGACTCACAACAAACCACCCAAACATCTAAACCCTGAACCCTAAACTCAAAAACACAAGCCCGGCAATGTGAGAGCTAGCCAAGAACAGCCCGGGCCACCGGGGGCGACAGCACAAAGTTGGGGGTTTAGGGTTTCGGGTTTAGGATTGGGGTCGAAACGTCATGGGTGCTGGTGTGTGCATGCCCAGGCCGCTCACACCTATGCGTAGCGGCATAGCAGATAGCCAGCCCACCCCAAGACCGCCGTGCGTTCAAGCATTTTAGGGTTCAGTGATGAAGTCGTCTAGGTATCCCAGCGGGGGCTTTGGCATTACCGACGGAGGTCGTTACCTTCGAGGAGGCCCAGGCAGAATGGACAGCAGCACTGCATGTCGGCCTTCTGTGAGTCAGTCCCTTTTTGGGTTGGGCTTTCTGTGAGGCTGTGCTGGCGGGTTCTCATGTGGGCTTGCTTTCTGTAAGGCTGGCTGCCCTGGCGGGTGCCGGAAGAACAATGGGCTTTCTTTGAGGCTGCGCTGGCGGGAATTGTCGAAATGGAGGGAACCCCGAGATCCAATTCGGGAAAGGTTGGGGGGATGCAACCCTTGTCAAGAAGGGGCCGGCTCCGACTCGTGAACGGCTGGGGGTGCAATCCTTGGCAAGAGGACGTCTGGGAGCCAAATGCGGCGGGAGAGCCGCAAGATGGTTTGTTTTTTTGTCCCCTTGAATTTCCAGATTTCCGGCCACTGTTGCCAACGCTTCAACTCGTGAAGCGGTGGGGGGTGCAACCGTTGTCACGGGGACAGGCTGCTCCAACTCGTGGAGGGTTGGAGGGTGCCACCCGTGTCCCGAGCGCAGGCTACTCCAACTGGGGGGGCCGACCCGTATACTTGTTAAGAAGGGTTAGGGTTAGGGGTGCGAGAAGCGGCAACAACAAGAGTAACAAGCATGTGCATGTATGTATTGCTGATACAATGCCTGTGCATATATGCGCATTGGCGCAAATCATGTGTGCCTTCAAGCGCCCTGGCACACAAGCATGATCGAAACTTCAAATGCATGTCCTGCTAAGGCATCTTGGGACATAATCACGAGGGCAGAACCTAAATTCAGAACAACTCATTTGAAGCAGTTCACTTGTCGGGAGTCAAAGTAAACCTTTGCACTTGCAACTCCCTGGGGGATTTGGCATGATTTGGCCGATCTTCCGTGAGATCGAATTCGGTGCATACTGGCATGGCGTTCGATGTCAGCTGCCAGCGGACGGCCCAACTTCCCCAAACATTCTGCAGGAAGGAGCCAGGTAACCCTGTTCCCACATACAGAATTTTGTGGCCTTCCTGTGTTGGTTGAAGCAGGGGCCGCTCCACCCAGAGTTCCAGCATCCGGGTGAAATCTCCAGGGGTGGGTGTCATCTTAGCTCTTTGAGGAACTTCGATGTTCGATGTCGCGAATAGCCACCCATCCCAGGGCAGACCCAACTAATTTACTTGGAGCTGCGACGGCGAGGTCGCACTCCCGCAACTCGATTGACCCTGAAAACTCAAAAACTCTGGATAAGCCATAGTCCCTTTCGACCAGCAGCTCCTTTAGGCTCAACCCCTTAAACTCACAAACCAACAAATCCCAAATATCAGGCCTTAAGAATGCCTCGTGTAGCACTAAGGGTCTATACACGCCTCTTCGATCTCGACATCAACTACAATTAACTACAAGCGAAGCTTTCGGGGCTGCCGTGCACATTAAGAACGATCAAAAGTCTCAGTCTGCTGCCTTCCTCCGGGTTTTCAACTTTCGGTTTGTGCCGGTTAGGTGTACGGTCCCAAGCTCCAAAACTAAGATTCGTATGCCAAGACGGTCCAGCTTCAAGCAGGTCTCCTCGCTGCATTGTATGTGACTTGATAGCACGGTTATAGCCAGCCTATTGTAGGACACTCAAAGACGACAGTCAAGGACATGCTGATGCTTCAGCGACGTTGGCGCAAATACAATCTGCATGCTAGGCACTCTGTAACTATTAAGTTTTTCACATGATGTCAGTTGAATATGGTCGAAAACTAAAGCAACATCAGCCTAAGCCAGATTTTTACCGCAAATAGTCTGTTCCATCACCAGCAAGATTGTTATGAGTATGTATTGTCAGTATTATATCTGTTATTACCGTTACTACTACTACTACTACTA